TTTTCTGAGTTGTATACAGCAAATGAACCTAATGATGCCTACAATAAATTTATAGAAACTTTTAAATTAATTTATGATTTGTGTTTTCCCATTAACACAATTACTATCCAATTAAATAAACGGGTTAAATGGCTGACTAAAAGCATCAAGTTATGTTCTAAAACACAGAGAAAAATGCTATGGAGATACAGGCTAAATCCCAATGAGCAAACAAGACTGCTTCTAAAAACATACACTCATAGACTTAAAAAGGTTATTAAGCTTACACAAAAAGCTAGAAATAATTATAGAATTAAATTATCAAATAACAAATGTAAAACTATTTGGCAAATTATTAATTGGGCTAAATCCCAATGAGCAAACAAGACTGCTTCTAAAAACATACACTCATAGACTTAAAAAGGTTATTAAGCTTACACAAAAAGCTAGAAATAATTATAGAATTAAATTATCAAATAACAAATGTAAAACTATTTGGCAAATTATTAATGGAAATAAGAGTTATCACCCTCAAGAATACATTGAAAAAATAACTTTGGTGATGATAATGCTATCATCAATAATCCGAAAGACATTGCCGATGCATTTAATAATTATTATACTGACCAAGTATTGGCATCTCAAGTTTTAAGAAATAATAAAAATATCACATTAGAAGCATCTGCGCATTCATTTTTTATGCCACCAATCATTTCTCTAGATGTTTCAAATGCTATAAAGTCACTAAAAAACACAAATAGCGTTGGATACGATGAACTTTCTACACGTGTCATTAAGTTAGTTAACAAGAGTGTTTCTCCACATTTAAGTTACATATTTAACTTATGTGTACAAGTTGGTGTTCCAGAGGGTCTTAAAACAACTGTTATTAAACCACTTTATAAAAAAAAGGGTTCGAAAGATGATATAAGCAGCTATAGACCCATTGCCCTTACACCAGTTATTTCGAAGATTTTTGAAAAGATTATGCATAAATACCTGAGTAATTATCTCGAAAAATTTAATCTATTAGTGGATGAACAGAAGGGATTCAGGAAAAATAAATCAATTAATAGAGCAATATATGATTTATTAAATTTAATAATCAAAAACATTGATAATAAAATAGATATCTGCGCTCTGTTTTTAGACATGAGTAAAGCTTTTGACTATGTAGACCACCAAATATTATTGCATAAAGTTGAATATTACGGAATAAGAGGTAATATTTTAAATCTGATTCGGACATACCTGACCAATAGACAACAAGTAACACAAATAACTCGAATCGACATAAAAAAGAGAGAAGAAAAAATTTACACATCTAATTCTCGATATGTTCGGTATGGCGTTCCACAGGGAAGTGTGTTAGGACCATTGTTATTTCTTATTTACATAAATGACTTACCTAAATGTGTTTCACACCCCATGGTTTTATTTGCCGATGATAGCACAGCTATCATTAAAAGTGTTAAACATGATCTAGAAGACGAATTAAATTTAACACTAACACAAATCATCGAGGAATTGCAAAAAAATAATTTACAAGTTAATTTGGATAAAACTAAATTTATAAAGTTCTATCAAAGATGTGCAAATGATTTAAATTTAAAAGTAATACACAGAGGAAACCAAATTGAAAAAGTTGACTACACAAAGTTTTTAGGCTTGACAATCGACACTAGATTAACATGGACTTATCAATCGGACATAGTGTGTAACAAAATAAGTAAAGCGGCATATATTCTATGGAAATTGTCTAGCACCTTAAACATTGAATCACTGTTAACTGCATATTATGCCTATGTAGAATCGCATCTTAGATATGGCATCATATTCTGGGGAAATTGCAGCAAGAAAGAAAATATATTCAGGTCACAAAAAAAATGTGTTAGAGCGATGTGTAAATTAAAAACGAGAGAAAGCTGTAAATCTTCTTTTATAAAATATAAAATATTAACCATGCCGTCGTTATACATATTTGAGAGTGCGATGTTTGTGAAAAATAACTTGTCTCTTTTCTCCAAGCCCAACCATGAGCGAAGCAGACGTGACTTACACAAACTTTGTTTACCTAAAACTAATACTAAACTTATGAGCAAGAGTATACTCTGCATGGCACCAAAAATATATAATAGGCTCCCGAAAGAAATGAAGGAATTAAACACAAATCTATTTAAGAAAAAACTACGCGACATGTTAACAGAAAAATGTTATTACAGTATAAACGAATTTATGTCAAGTTAATAATCTAAACGTATTCAGTGAATTAATAATGTGCAATTTTATCGAATTTTTTTATTTTTTTAGTCATTTAATTATTTGTCATTTTGTTCTCTGTTCTATTATTACTGTTTGTTAACTTACTTTTTTCATAGACATTTGTTTTAATATTATTTTAATATTCTGTTATATAATTTTTTCAATTTTATTTTATGATTATAATAATTAAGAAATTTGAGATTGTATACTGACAACCTTTAAGCGAACATATCATATTTGCACACCCTACAAAATGGGTAGAATATAGCGATAAAAATTACTGTGTTGTACACCTCATGCCTAACCTATATTTCGCAAATAAATACATTATTATTATTATTATTATTATTAAGATTTACATAAAATTTATCTGTTTTAATGGACGAGTAATTAAGTGTCAGGCGATTTTAAAACTTTTTTAGTATTTTATCTATGTACCCAAAGGAACATTATTTAATTTTTAAATCAAAACCTTATGGGGCGGACCATAGTCTGTTTAGTGTTCGAAAAGTCGGAATAATAGAAAATTTAAACAATTTAATCGGTAAGACATATTTGTTTAATAATGTGTTCTAATCACGCAAACATTAGAGAATTTATATATTTGTTCAAAGACTTCGGAGTTACTGCCATAATTCTGTTGCCATGAATCTACGAATTTTTTAGGATTTCAGAATTGGGACGTGCAGAAATCGCTGTCTGACACTTAACTGACTTCTTTGGACTACTAACTCATCGCCTGTCCCGTTAAGAACTAAAATAAACTTTGTGAAATTAGTGCTAATATTTTCTTTATCTGTAAATGTTTCTCAACGTATTCTATAACCACGCAGTTTCAGTGTAGAGAATCTAAAATCAAATAACGTAATAAACTAAGCCAACATTAACAGGTTATCGATTCACCACGTTCTCGGGGCCGGGGATTACTATTAATTCTGTGTTTCTTTTTACGTGTTCACATAAACCAGGAATGTATTTATGATCATGTGACTGGTTTTACCGCGGCGGACTCACGACAAACAAGAGAAACGATTGCTTATCGTCTTTGAACTTTAACATGCACAACTACGACAACACGATGCGGCCATAGTGTACATTGTTTTATCAATTTCGACGATGACATTGGTGCTTTCACGCGTTAATCAGATATGCCTTAAAGAATGATAAATACGACGTTGCTATCGCAATCTTATGACCCGGGTATTAATCTAAAGTTAGTTAATTGACGAATATGAGAGAATTTCTGGTCAAAAATTTAAATACCATTAAAATATTTCATATTTAAATTTTTATTTTAATAAATGTGTTTGAGTGCGGAAGCTAGTTTACATACATGCACGTTTTTATGAAGGACTAGAGTCCTTTGTACATTTACTAGATATGCCATATGAATTCCTATGGCTGCCACGTTGCTACCGCGGTTGTAGGTTTATGCAAATGTCTTGTACCATTTATTAACCGTTATGCGCATTTTCTTACGCGTTAAAATCCTATCTATCAAATGTGGGCCGTGTTCGGGTGACTAGTACGCTACTTGCTACGTTTTGGGACTGTATAACGGGCACGTTGAAACGTGTGCAGCATTAGCCATTTCGGTCCGGCCTGGATATCTGCATTATTTTAATGAATAAGTCTATTTCTTCTTCTTGCGATACGTCAAAACCCTCACATCCGTACAATAATGGTCCGTTATTGGATACACATCATTCACATTATTACGGACGATGCTTATTAATGAATACATTGTATTCATTCAATCAGAAGTGCTTATTCCGCGTATGAATCGAACCCACACCCCGACCCATGTAACCGACACTAATTGCTTAGCAACTGTCCCAACAAGTCAACAAGCATGCAACACGTTTTTGATTTAACTAAACATATTAATTCTTGTTTTTCCGCAAAAGCGCCCACCGTTATATAAAATTGCTTTCAAGATTTATTTTCAAATATAACAACTAAATAAAATGCAATCAATTCTGTAAAAACAAACAAATGATAAGATTTTTATGCCGTTCTGTGCGCATTACGGAAAAATTACTGGATAGATTTCAATTAATTCTTTTAAGTTTTATTTTTTAGACACTTGGCTCTTATCTAAAAAAATATTTTTATATCTTTATTTATTATAATGTAAAGTAATTATTAAAGTTTTATTGCTATAAAAGTTAGAAAATCAAACACGATTATAATAATACTAATAATATTCCAACTATTTTAATATAAATTATGTCGAAAACAATATTGTAACTAATAGTATTATCCTCTTTTATGTTTCATAATTGTGTGTTACTAAAACAAAAGCACATTGTCTTTCAGTGAGGTGTAGAAATCTGTTATAGATTTCAACTATGAATAAAAATGTTTTGGGTTAAAAGTTGTGAGTAGCGTGACAAATTCATTGGATGGGGCCCTTCCCCCATCCAACCAAATTTGTAGTTTTTTATTTTAAATAAATTCCTAGGAGTTGCTAAGCTAAGCTAGATTCCTACGAGTGAAATGCGGTCAAACCTTGATACATTTCTTTGTTTATATGTTGCATGTACTTTAGATGAACATGATAAACTAACTAAAGATAATAAAATAAAAACTATAACATTTTACTAACTAGTGTAAATACAAATGTTGGGATCCTCCTAGCACGCGGCCTACCAGAGCCGCGGGTCTCCTACGACCCTAATGGCATGCTACTTGTTAATATGTCTTTTTCAATTAGATTAATTATTTAATCTATATTAATTAGATTTTTCTTATTTTAGGTACACAATGAGGTCATGCGGGCTGCACATCTTGGTGTGTTTTTTCGTCATCATTGGGACAGTCTTCTCTCACGCGCTGCCTACTCAAGACACTTTAGTGATAACTAAATCCGATGACGCTGTAAGTGCCTTTTAAAAAATAAAGATTCAGCAAAACAAATGATATTCTTGCGAACTATTAAGTACTATACTTACTGAGCAGTTTTGTTTTCCGCTTGTTTGTTATTCCGCTATCTATAAGAATAATTAAACAACTTACGAGAACTATCCAGAGTTAGGTACCAATTATTTTATTAAGTAATGCCTAATGCAATTTGAAATAATCAATAATCAATTTCTTAATGCACCATGAAACGGTTGTTGCGTGGGAATGCATCAAAATATACTGATGAAATAAAGCACACACTACTACACACTTTTACCAAAATTAAGTTCGATATTTTATAGACCAAAACTTTTTTATTAGCACCCGCGCACTTTAATTTTCTACCCGCTTTTTACGTTATATCACGAAATGTTAAAGTACTATCACAGATTAAATATTAAATCGGATGGAGGCCGCTGGCCGTATGCAATAGTAACAAATAATATTAATTTGGTAAGTTTTCATAAATTTTTAGGAACCTGTACTACGTCCTAATTATACACACTTTAGTACACTTTAATTTTATCTTCTTGTTGTCACAGAATTCTTAATTCCACGCGCTCTCTGTTTGTTTTTTTAATTAATTTTATTAATTGCACATATTATTCCTTGTTGAATTATTAATTACGAGTATTAACCCCGAATTACGCGATGATATCGTCATCAGTGTGGTGTATCCGTCGCCGCGTTATTGAGGGAAAAGGACCTCTTTGTTATTTATTTATTCATTAATAAATTTAGTTTAGAACACCCGTAAATAAATAACGTTTTACATTAATATTTGTAAGAATGATATGAAAAATAGTATGAAATCTCAAAATTATCCTTTAAAATTTATGGGATATAATAAGGCGGTGGCAAATAATTATAAATAATTCAATCACGCATGCAGTAACCATCAACCAAATAACGTAATAAATCATAAAATCTCACAGCCAAGTCCGCTCACCATAAATCACTCTAGTGTGGGGGAAAAAAAAGTCAATTCTTTTATAAAGCAGCCGACATTTACGGAGGCTGCCACGACGCAGCTGACAACCGAGGAACCGGACCCACCGATTAAAATGACAGAGATGGACGTTCGATCTGAGATCACCATGCGTTACGCGCACACCGCCATCGTCACGCGGGTCCAAAACCCTGCGAAGAGATCCCAGGAGGCCACCTTCAGGGTGCTTCTGCCCGAGACCGCCTTCATCAGTGGATTTGTTATGTACGTATTACTTTACATATTCCTTCACAACGTGTTTTTATATTATAAAAATGTATTTATTACGGATCACCAAACGCGGTGTTAAATAAAAGTTTACCACAAAATTATTGCTGTGAAAAGTTAAAAACCTACCAAACTTCTTTTTTGAAATAAAAATAATGTTTTATTTACACGTACATTTGTAGATCAAATGGGAAGGGAAGTCATATATTGGACGATTAATACTCAATTGTTGTCTATCATTCTAAAATATAGAAACCTTACGTCGTGTCTACGTAAATCTTACGTTTTTGAAACACTGATCATCATTCAGTCTGATCAATTTAGAGAGTTTAACCATCCTTTTGGCACTCAAATGACATTTGATAAGCAATTTAACAGCTGATTAGTTAATTTCAGAAACCGGGCATCAAGATAAAAATTTTTTTTCTTCCTTTTAAAAAAAATACTTCTACTGTGGAATGAGATAATCCAATGTTATTGAGGTGCTTTACGCAAACAAAAACTGAACAATAACAATAATACTTCGGACTACACATATTTTTGAAAGATTTTTTTGTTATTATTTCGAAAATATACAGGTTTCCTCATGTTTTCCTTCATCGCCAAGAACGTGATAAGTCAGCATTTATTAACGATTTAATTGGTGCTGGCATCGGAGATCGAACTCAGGTTGTTGGAGTAAATTGAATTAAAGGCGAGCGCCCGGACACTGAGCTATCACGGCTCCACGTGGAAATTAAACTAACAATCCATAATGCCGAAGTCTTTGCAGAGCGGTAGAAAGCCACGGAGTAACTAAGATTCGTATACCGTGAAGATTATGGAAGTGTCATCGGTACCATTATTACAAATGGAAAATAATCACATATAGAATAGTTAAAAAATTTACAATTAGTGGTTTTAGTTTGTGCGATGTTTACTCGCGATTCGAGGTCATGATTCATCATTCAAACTTAATACGTGCATATTTAATTTTGTCATGTTAACTCATGTTTGCTTTTAGGCATGGAATTTAAAATTCATATAAGTACCAAGGTTTTCGAAAGTGGTACTCTATTTAGATTTAAGGGCTGAAGATATAACTCTCTGAATGAATTTCTTTTCAGGACTTTGGACGGAAAATCTTATAAGGCATACGTAAAGGGAAAAGAAGAGGCTAAGAATATATACAATCAAGCTGTCTCACAGGGATACGGTGCTGCTCACATTAGTGCCAAGTAAATGACTAATTTTATTTTACATATTTTTAGAATTACTGTAGTTTTATGTGCCTACTATAAGTAAAATGTTAATGAAAAAGTTGGTAAACGTGAACATAGCACCGACGGATGTGTTCCATAAGAGGAGTTATAATGTAGAATTACATTCGATACATAAGTTTTCTTTGTTCTATTCTCAAGAAATCTACACGTAGTTCTCTTCTGTCATGCCTAAAATTAATTTTAGTATGTTTCCTCTACGCTTTTCTTATCCACTCATCCGGCCGTCCGTATGTTTGGTAGTTAAATAAAGAAAAACCGTGTACACTACTTTAGTTAATACACACACGGGCCGGCCTGTTTAAATCCTATCACTGCTGCTATCTATCTTATTTCTCTTCCTATTCCTTTGAGACGCGCAAACTTCACCACCATCGTCTCCCCAGGGCGCGCGACTCTAACATCTTCACGGTGTCTGTGAACGTCGAACCGAGGTCGGCCGCCGTGTTCAACTTGACGTACGAGGAGTTGCTGACCAGGCGGAACGGCGTTTACAACCACGCGGTGAACCTGCACCCGGGCGCGCTGGTGCCGAAGCTGACCGTCGTCGTCCACATCAAGGAGACGCAGCCCATCAGCGAGCTGAGGGTGCCCGAAGTGCGAACGGGCAACGAGGTGGACGCAACAGAGGAAGACGCGCGTAAGTTAGCCACGAATCGAATCGTCGGGGGTCGAACGCGACACAAAGCTCGTCTGAATATTCCTTTATACAGTATCTCAGTTTTTTAATACTCTCCTTGCTTATGAAGTAGAGAATATTGTAGAACTGTGAGCTGCGTTTGCGCCTAGCTCGATCACGTAGCTTGTCATGAACAATCAGAAAAAGAAATTGTTATTGATTATTGTCCATTGAATCCAGCGCCATAGTTCTGACCAAATCATTTCATACACGATACCCATAACGTAACGAACCCGTCTACCGGTTTTCGATTAAATTTTTTTGTATCGCAACAAGCGTTGATCTTAAGAAGACGACGAAGAATTAACGCGCTAGGAGTTAACCGGTCGGACAACTTATCGAGTGGATGCCATCTGCGGATAGGTCATTGATTCGAGACGAAACATTGATGAATATAATCTAAACAAACATTTATTTCTTGCGTTTTAGTTATTATACATAACGTATTAGGAAACTTCGCACAATTAGTTATACTAGTACACTTTTGCAAACAATTTAAAGGTGACGTAGATGGTAATAGTAATTAAAGCATTAAACTTACTTTTAATTCCCTTCGAGCTTAGAAACATAGTGGCCATTTTTGCACTTTTTATGAAACATTACTTACTTTTTGTAAGATTTCGAAAGGTTCTATTATAATAAACAATAAGTATATTCGAGCGATTATAATTTAATCCCTTCGAATCAAATTAATAAAGTGAAATTAGAAATTAAAATTATTGTTCTAAATTGAAATATGATTTCTCATTTCGGGTTATAATTTTTATAACATTTTTGCCAAAATGTATGTTCGTATATCTTTATAAGTTAATAAGTAATATTTGTATCGTAGAGAACACTAACGCTGTGATCGAGCGGGGCGCCAAGGATCGTGAGGCTACCATCACTTTCAAGCCAGATCTCGAGGAACAAAAGAGACTGATTCAAATTTATAAGGTTCGGTTATTTTTCTTTTTTTACAACGCTGCTTTAAGAGATAAAAACTTCGTCCCCAGGGTTAATATATTTATACTAGCTGCTGCCCGCGACTACGTCTGCGTAGAGGGGTGAAAATTTAGGGTTGTATGTATTTTTGTATGCTGTGTCATAAAAAATAGAAACAAAAAGTTTTATATAAAAAATAAAAAAAAAATTAGGGGTGGACTACCCCCGTAACATTTAGGGGGATGAAAAATAGATGTTGGCCGATTCTCATAGAAACCGGATAAGCACAAAAAATTTCATCAAAATCGGTCAAGCCGTTTCGGAGGAGTATGGCAACGAAAACTGTGACACGAGAATTTTATATATTAGAAGATGTAGCTTATAATGTTTTTTTTTTTAGGAAAAATCCAAGGAGCGCCGAGTAAATAGTTACGGATATGATTATGAAGCTTCACCGACCCCTCAAGATGGTATCCTAGGACAATTCGTAGTGCAATACGACGTTGATCGCACAAAAGGCAGCGACATATTGGTAAAGACATATTTTTTCATCATATTTTACAAGTTTAATTTGAGATTTAGTATTAGAGAATTGTGTTGTACGGGCTTAATTACTTATTCGTTACTCTACAAAATCCCTGCTCAATGCTCTTTGTTCTATATTAGAAAATTTATAGTTAAAGTTGTAATCAGTCAATTATTATATAGTTAGTAGGTGAATCGACTACAAATATTCACTCTTGTATTGTTCCGATCGATTAGTGAAATGTCGTCTATATGAGGTTTAATAGTTGGAAATAAGAAATTATGAAGTAAATAGATACAAGAACTTAGAACATTTAAGTCTAGTTTTGTTTAGTGATAAAAAATATTAAATGTCACCTATATGCTTTACCTATTTGTTGGTCATACAAATAGTTAGTTGTGCCGGAATCGAACCCGCAACTCCCGACGACGAAGTCGATACCTTGGCGAATGCGCCACGGGGGCATCACATGCTAGCAAAAATGAGTCGCGAAAAAACGCTAAATTTCATTTGATTTTCAGGTTAACGACGGCTACTTCGTGCACTTTTTCGCGCCGACCTCCCTCCCGCCGCTGAGCAAGCACGTCGTGTTCGTCCTGGACACGTCGGGGTCGATGAGCGGCCGCAAAATGGAGCAGCTGATCGCGGCCATGCTCACCATCCTCGCCAAACTGAATAAGGGCGACGTCTTCAACATTGTCCAATTCGAGTCATCCGTTCAGGTATTTTGAGAACTACGTTTTGCTTACGACCATAAGCAACGTAGTCTTTGAAAAATCCTTTATATGCATACATGCATAACGCGTCGATGTTATCTTTCCGGATGTACGTCCACCAACTTGGTTTCAGATCCTCGACATAAAATCCTTTTCGGAATCCAGCCCACCCGTCGAGCGCGAGTATGGCTACTACCGAGAAAACGCGTTCGAAATGCCCGCTCTGTTGCCACCTGTCGAAGCCACACCCGAGAACATTGCTAAAGCGAAACTCTTGGTGTCTGGATTACGGGCCGGCGGTGGTAAGTGCGAAAAAATTACACTGATTTACATGTACTAGTGAACACCGAGTGGTCGAAATTCGACCGTAAATTAAAAGTTTTAACAATATTAATCTATTTTCAAATACAATACGCAATAAACAAAAGAGTATATATGCACGTGTGTATCAAATACATGGTAGTGTGTGTAATGTTTTTTATTTTGATTGAATGTATTTTTATGCAAAATTTAATAAAAATATTAGCATTTTGCACTCCTTCTCTATATAAACTATAAGTGTGGGAAATTTCATGCTCCTCCGTTCGCGCAATTTTCGTAAAAAGGGGTACAGTTTTTACCGTGGTAGTTACGGATCAGATATTTCTGTTGCATGAATGGATTGGGTCAATCGGAGTGGTAACTCGTCCTCACAAAATAAACAACGTAAAAGTAGCAGATGAAGTATTTATACACACGTTTAGTGAGTAGTCACTCACTAAACGTCTAACCTGGTCATCATACTCGTAAGGGTGGGCATTGTAACTGCTAACACACGGATGATTCCACATCATCCGTGTCTTAGCAGTTACAATGTCTATTTGGGAAATAATACCCTACCAGCAGATATACCTCTAGCTAGTTTGCCACTCGTATAAAAATATCTTTATAAAGCTATTTGCATTACTAGAATAAGTAAAATAGAGTAACATTAAATGATATTTAAATGGACCCGATTTTAGGAACCAACATCGCCACTGCACTCGATGTAGCAATTGCCCTCATTCAAAAAGGCGCTTCGGTCACCAACTCCACTTCTGCAACCACCACTCCTAAGGCTGACGGATCACAAGCGACATCTGACAGTGCAGCTAACACAGAAGTCGCGCAAGAATCTGACAAGGAAAAAGTACATAATGGAAACGCCAAGAATAGCGAGAGTATAGATGGTAATTGTTTACTATATTTAAACATTTGTCTTATATCGTTGAACAAAATTGAAGAAATTTCACACCGCAAACATAAATATTTCAGACAAAAAAGAACCCATTGTGATTTTCCTCACGGACGGAGAGCCGACTGTCGGTGAAGGCAATCCTTCGCGTATTATCAAAATCGTGGCGGAGAAGAACTATGGAACTAACAAAGCATCGATATTCTCTTTGGCGTTTGGTATGTTTAAAATTATAAATCACTATCACTACATAGTATAAAACAAAGTCATCCGCTATTTGTTTGTCCCTATGTATGCTTAGATCTTTAAAAGTATGCAGATCTTGATGCGGTTTTTTTTAAATAGATAGAGTGATTCAAGAGGAAGATTTATATTTATAACACATTGCACGTGTGCGAAGCCGGGGCGGGTCGCTAGCGATAGATAAAAAAGTAATATTTAAAGACAGCTTTTTACTACTACATTATTAGCTCCCGTTTTATTATGTTTCTTTTTACGAATTGACTGTTGACCACCGACAGTCCGATACAGTATGTATTTAAAAATAGTCCAATAAAAAATAGGCATCATCTAATTACATTGTGGGGTGGTGATTTCGGAATGCTGATTGGCAGTTTTCTGATCTATTAAGGTGAGGATGCAGACCGGACCTTCTTACGCAAACTGTCGCTCAAGAACGACGGCTTTATGAGGCACATTTACGAAGCCTCTGACGCTTCGTTGCAGCTCCGAGATTTCTACCGCCAGATCTCCTCTCCGCTCCTGGCTGACGTGAAGTTCACTTATCCGCCTGATCAGGTCAGTGTTCAGTTTAATTACGGCTTCACGAAGTCACGTTAAATTCTTACATGTCAAGTACAATCTTAATAATTTAGTGTTATAAGAGTGCTAATTGAGATGTCAATACAATAGTACAGATGTCTCTCTAAGTCGATGTGTTTATGCCTAAAAGGATCTTAGTCAGTCTTACGGCCAGATTCTGAAACACTGATCATCGTAGAAGTCAACTAATCAGCTGTCCAATGGCTTTTCAAATATGATTTAAGTTGCCAAAAGGATTGTTAAACTTTCTGAATTAATCAGAATGATCTTCTTAATGAACAGAATAATCAATTGTAAATATTGGTACGATTAATTTAATAAGTATTTATTAAGTAGATAACATTAAACTGACAAATAACAATCTAACTATTAATAGGTTAAGGAGGGTTCGCTGACGAAGAGCAAGTTCCGTAGATTTTACGCTGGCTCCGAGGCAATTGTGGCCGGTCGCATAGAGGAGAATATCGCTGAGTTGACGCCCCACATATACGGAATTTGCGGTGTCGGATTGGACGACGCAGGCAGGGTGAGTTTCATGATTTCTTGCATTTGAACTTTTTATAGTACTAATCTCTGCACTTAAGATTAAACATTAAAATTTGTGGCGTCAGGCAGCGAATGCCGAAAATGTGGGTTCGATTCCCACAGCGGCGACAATATTTTCGTAAATTTTATACAAATTTTAATGTTCAATCTTAAGCGCAGAGATTAGCACTATAGACATAATTAAATTTCTAAAAAGCAATCAAAACATCTCTCGTTCGAATTATCGTTGTAAAACGATATTCGAAATTGTTTGTACGCTGGATAGGATATAACAATAGATGCGCTAAGTATTGTTTCAAATGCTAAAAAACAATTATTAATATTATAGCAATGTAGATAAAAGAACATGCCATGATCAAGTGTTGAATGTATTTGATACGGTAAGCTTAATGGACAATTCATGATCATGATGATACATGGGGAAGTTTAACATTTCTCTTTGGGGTCAAATGCGCCATTACCTGAAGGTTTTCCCTTGTAGAAGCGTTACGAGGTATCGACTAAGACGCCTGTGGAGCGCGGTCGCGACTCATACCTCCCATTGGAGCGACTTTGGGCCTACCTCACCATACAGCAACTGCTGGACGAGCGCCACATCGCAGACATCAGCGACGACGACGAGCTGAGCCCCGCGAAGAAGGCTCTAAAGCTGGCTCTAAAGGTTAGTTTGTTACCTCTATCAAAAAAAAAAGATTAAAAATCTATAATTACGGTCTTTAATAAATCCTTATAAAACTATCTTGTTCATTGAATTGTAATAATTGTTATATTGGAAGCTTACGTGGCGAAACGGTGGTAAGTAAAATAACTGTTATTACCGCTGTACCGAAAGTGTTCGTTTATCTATAAAAACTTACAAATCAATATTACTGTTGTCATTTAAAATATTTGCCAATGTTCAAAAGGTTGTCAACCCTCGGGTGTAGCAGATGTCCATGGGCGGCGGTATTCACTTACCATAAGTTGAACCGTCTGATTTATTTAACGAATTACAAATTTTTGCAAAGTTCATCAAGCTTCAATCAATCGTACAAAATATTGTTATTGTCTTAAAGATTGAGAGTGCTTATCGTAAAATTTATTGATAAAAGTTTATATTATGTCCAAAGTTTTTAATGATACGTACCGACTTAAAATGATATGTGTGCTATGTAGGTGCTATACAGAAATCAGATGCAGTGTTTTACTGAAGGTGGAAAAACTAATTAATTTAATTTCCCTTTCAGAATCATCCCCGCCCTTCGCAACGTGTAAGTACAAAATATTCAACATCGGTTAAGGTTTCATGTTTTAAAAATGTGTTGATAAAACCGTGCAAAATTTTTTTCGCCGCTTGGAGAATTTACCTTTGCCTTTCTTATTACGTTTCCAAACGCTCTAGCCAGTAGCCACTAACCTAGGCTGATGGTAACGTTTCATCTTATGTACAGATACTGGCACTAAAACTTAAAAAAACAAATTGTCAAATTTTCAATTGAAAATGTGTCATTGCTGTAAAGGAATCACATTGGATAACGTTTAGTATTTTATTAAAATTTATTAAAAGTTGGCAACACATCTGCAAATGTGTGTTGCAAATGCGGGTGGTGAACCGCCAGCTCGCTTGGCAAAATCTTACGTAATAAAAAAAATGCGCCGGAGTTTATTGATTATATTACATACAGTGTCATATGAATCATAGTCAAGCCGAAATCAGTAATCAAAGGGCACTCGATGACGGTTTCGGTAACGGTTTCCCGAAAAAAATTATAAGTCACTTATTCTTAAAGTTATTGTCGTAACAAGTAAGCAACGCAGACGAAGTCGCGCTTATTAGCTAGTTTTGGATATGCCTCCCATTTAAGATAAGGGCTAATATTCCGAATAGTACGTCTCGTTTTTCAAGCTAGAAAAATATTTTAATCTATAGAGAAATGTTAATAACTAAATATTATATAAGTTATAATCAATGAAAACTAGATTATGAGGAAAAAATTAACAAAGTTTTTAAATTTTCATACAACTGAAATCCGTCATTACTGTGCGTCCATTATTCATTATAGACTATTACGAAAAACTTACGTTTTCACTTTTTACGTTGTAAGAAGACACAAATACACAGATATATCACAAAAACACAAGTTTCTACTTCATGAACATGTATTATTAACAATTTCTAAAATTTAAAATTTGTGACTTAGCGTACACTTAATGTCTCGAATATTAGAAGAGCGATCCGACTCGGATAGGTTAGGTTAGAAGGTTTAGCCTTCGTTGTTAGGTTCTTTTTTTATGACCACCCAGAAAACTTTAGTGTAACAGTACTTTTAGTATTTTTAAAGACTCTTTTTTAATAATGCGAAGGTTATAATTTGGAAAAGTGTGTGAATTCGTAAATTTATACATATTTTAATTTATACATGTTGTCAAACACAAAATGGCGGATTTATTTAGTGAAAATAACAAGTTTTAAATATTTTTTTTATTAAAATTAAGTGTTTGCCTTGGTTTTCATGTATGTAATATTTAATTATTAACATTTCTCTATCGATTAAAATTTTTTTCTAGCTTTAAAAACGAGACGTACTGTTCGGAATTTTTACCCTGTGGAGAAGTTGTTAAGAACAATAATTAGGTTAAGATGAAATTTTTCCCTTAGATATGAAGGCGAAGATGCTATGCATGTTATGATCGCATAGGACATAACAAAAATGATTCTGGATGTGCGAATTTGTTGAATAGTCAAGCAATTAAACCAGATTTAAACTCATTCCATGATGATTAATGATGCTAGCGAACTTATTGAATACATATTTTTTTCTCTTTATTTACAGCCCAGTTGTCTTCACCACAACAGTGTAAGTAACTACTTTGTGTTAAGTAATTTATTTAAATAATTGCTTGTATGTACGCATATAATGCTGATTTTGTTACGCTGTATAAAACGAATTAAACCACGAATGGGCGTACTTGTCCGGGAAAGAAGTAGAAAGTAGAAAAGATCTCACAGAAGACGTGAAGACGGCGTGAAGTGGCAGCATCTTGTATTGTATTTTTGTTTTCCTTGGTGCCATATAAGCAGGGCTCGCTCTTCTGAAGGTTGGCAACGCATCTGCTATCCTACAGGTGTGCGGCGCCGGTCGCCTATCTCGTGAGCCGCTAGCTCGTTGCTCTCATGTGAAATAAATTTATACGTAGGTACATTATTATTTTGTGCCGTTTTATAATGCAGGGTCTAACAGCTTCGACGTCAGCTTTCCAACCCACATCAAAAAAGGAGGAGCTTCTCAATTCGGTTGTATTTTTTTTTGTTTGTTACCTCAGAACTCGTTTTTTTGAACATTTTTAAATTGTTTATTCTATTGGGTCCGGCTTAGCCCCATGTGGTCCCAATTTATATTCTACCTTGGCCTCGGGAGATGAATCAGAGAACTCCTCAACCTCAAATAGGAAATGTATAGCGAGTGAGATTTGAAGTCTGCTTTCTTTGTTACTAAAAGTGTACTTGATATTCTAGAAAAAGTATCTTTTTCGAATTCATGGCATTTATACCTTGCAAACCTTGTTGTACATAGGATAGAATAGATGAATTTACCTATATTAGAGTTCATGTATATCTGCCGGCGATAATATATGGCTTTGTCGCAGGCCCTCGTGCGAATCTGTGGCAGCTAATTTTACATTGTAGTGTCTCAATCGGAAATTTTAAATAATAGTTATTTTATTTGCTTCAGTTTTCTCCAGTGGATTGGCATCAAGTAAGTTAACACTTTTTTTTTACTCGTCGGATAAACTCTGTCATATGATTTTTTCCAAGAGTCATCACGCTTTTCGATTCTATAGTACGCTTTCCGGAATCACTTCGATGTTGCATAACCAAGTTTGTGCTTATCGAATTTTTCGAAAAGGGCTCCTGAATGAGGCTTCCAAATCTGGTATTTTTCATGCGTCCGCCAGAATGCCGACTTTTAACCAAATATCGCTTTACTCCATTGATAAAACTTTGGTATGATACGACGTATGCATGAGTAACGAGTACGACGTATGCGTAAGCATGAGTAAAGCTTGTTTAATAATATGAGGACATGGTACAAGTATGAGATTTTTTCATTATGCTAGACTACCCGATACCGCTCAGTGGTCTCCCGTCTCCACTGGCTGTCAATGGGTATGTGGAGAGGTTTGAAGATATGCTCGTTGAATCTGAAGATGAAATCGGTAAGCTTTTGAGGGGTTATCTATACATATCGACGGTCCGTCCCTACGTACATAGAGATGTCCAAAAATTGATTTGTATTGCATATCGGCTTTAGATTTTCAATATACTAACATACTTATTGTATAACTTTTTTTTTATTTTGTGTATTTTAATTCATTTACAAATCGGATAAGACAACAAGTAACATAATTAGAACGAATAAGTGTCGGAGATGCGGATATCTAAAAGTATCGTTTTGTACGGTGTTTTAAAATGCGCGCGAATCGGTGCGAACGCCGTCTTGTCTGGCCTAACATGAGAATGTTGATGTAATTCTATTGTTGGCTTAATAATTATTAAAAAATAATTCAAAAATAAAAGTTTTGAGACAGTTTATATTTAGTGGCGTTTTTTAGTTACAAGTATTCATAAATAGCCTGAAATAATACTGTAAAATATGATTAGCAATAGATCAAAGTTATTGGTGGAAATTGCAAACTCCAGAAATAATGTTTTATGCGTTTCTGAAGCACAAGATTTAATACATTTTATTTAAAAAAGTTTTATTTAAATTACATGTTAGACATTGTTTTCTTCTATTCTCCGTATAAAAAGGTATCATAGACATGTCTGACATGCATTTATTTTAATATCAGCGTAGAAACAGTCATCTATCAGTTTTTCCAAGAAAATATAAATAAAGAAAATATGTATAAATACCATTATAAATTTAATAAAATATTATAGGAAAAAGTATTTATAAGTGTATATAGAATTATTTCTAGAGTGTTTTGAACATAAATAACGCTCTCCTGTAAACCTATGTACGTTGGGACAGTCGTTATGTGTACTTGAATTTTGTATTAGAAGTTGACCTAACTTTAACAAAAAAGTCGATTTGATAGGTGTGAGCGTGGCTAAAATAAACGTTCCACATATGTTTTTGTAAATAGTTTTATTAGGTGCATAAGTATCGAAACACCTCAAAAAATTTTAGCTGCGCTCAAGTTTAAATCAATATTTCATTGGTGGCAGCAAAAACAGGGACGAATATTCCATAATCTTTAACAATGTTTTTCATTTTGCGGCTTAATGTCTCTCGGATAAAATGCATGACATGCGGAAAAATCGTTAAATCGTGTGGTTCATGAATTCACGGATTACTCATAGCTGTTAATGGTTTTTTTTTAGATTGTGTAATGTGTTGCCTTGGCCAACCTGGCCATTTAGTCAGGTCAAATCGATTAAGAGCTTGAATAATACTAGACAGATAGGCAACACTCGGGAAATTACGCGACATCTTCTCGTCGCAGTTTCCACATTGCCTAAGACAAGCTTTTTAAGTAACGTATTTGGCCAGTGATGTCTTATAGCACTGAGACTTGGTCCTTAAAATCTCTCCCGATTTGCGAGTCGAATTAGCAATGACTAGTCCACATCGTTCAAAGAACTATTAATGGTAAGGGAATGCAACCGCAAGGGAGTAGCCTTGTACGGCCTTGCACTAAATGCAATGGGCGATATCATAAAAACCGCAGGAGGAAGGTTGTGTGGTAGTGGCCACACCAGTGCAAGTTAACAAGTCAGCATTGAAATTTATCAACTGTAGTTTCTTATTTATCGTACGTACTTGAATGATGCGTTCGATATTCTCTTTACAGTTTCGACACCAGTTTGAAAGAGCTTACAATAATTTTTTGACGTCATTTCACGCTTCCCAAAAACTGTTAGTGACTTGCAAATACTTCATAATGTGAAAAATATGGACGGTATCAAAAGAAGAAGTAATTAAGCCTTAAAGGAGTTATCAATATTTGAATTGCATAGCATTTTTTAATTTCTATGCGTTTTTTACTCCACAGGAATGAAAATAGTAAAATATCCCTTGCGAATCGACAAATTCTCAGGTAAATTCTATTGTTTTCGTTTTTGTCCGAACATATAAACAAAAGTTCATTCATATTAGGATAAATTCACTTCACTTATTTGCAGTATGTGTATTTAAATTATAATGTAACCTATCTATAGTTAGAATAATATAGAAGGTATCGTGGAACGTGGGTTAAATTGCATTTGCCAAACGGCCTAGAAATATAACTTATTTTTCTAGTCTGTGTATAAAACCTATTTTATTCCCAAAAAAAGCATGATTGTTTTTTTATCATTAGTGATACTGACGGTGCGCATTTTAACAGTACATGTACTGTTTACTTATTTACTTGGTTCGGTTCGGTAAATGTTGGACCAAATATCCGTCCCTTGCCCGCTTACCTATTTGCATATGAAAACGAAGAAGTATGAACACCTAATAATATAAAAGGCACAATACTGCAAAGTATCTTTTTAATCAACCTGCATTTTATTTAAACTTAGCGACTCCTATCATTAAGTAAGACTCATCACTTAAGTGATGCTCAATATCAATTTCACTATAGATAATTTACATAGTAGTAAGTGTGTCTTTTTACATTAACAGCAAGAGCTTCCTACAGGGCCAGGATTGCGTGGCATAATTCAAGTAAGATTCATTTAAGTAACAATAATTTTTTGATTATATCTGATCTTATAAATTCCCAGTTGACTTTGCAAAGTAGTTAAACAAAGTTTATCAACAATAAATATAAGTTTTTGCAATCTATTCTAAGCAAAATAATTAAGAAGCATTTTCCGTAAGGCTACAATAGTTTTACTACTACTATTTAGAGCGTTAGAACCATACAGCAGCTTCTGATGTTGTATGAGTGGGTTGGCTCGTCCGAGGAAGTGCCATGGCCTAACAGATGACCGCCGTGAAGCGGTATTGTACCAACTTTTCCGTTTTGTCTGGTGAATTTGGAAAGGCTGATAACGCATCTGGATCCCGTCAGATGCTTTAGGTGCCCATCAGCAGCGGTAATCACTTAACATCAAGTTCACAAGCTCGCTAGTCAACTTTTCATATAAAATAAAAAAGCAATCACAGGCAATTCCCTCAGCGATTAAGACCACATAAGAAATATATAACAAACAGTGCATAGGATCCTAATATAAGGCATATTAAAACATTAAAATGGTAAATTAAATAATGATATTATCCTTTGATTAAAGCTAATGTTAATATAAACTATCCATATACAGGATAGTTTATATTATAAATATTAGCGATCCGCCCCGGCTTCGTCTATACTACAGGGTATCCCGGATTAGTTTATACCACAGGATATCTTTATAATATAATATATATAAAGTTTACATATAATATTTGCAGCGGTTGTTTTACGAGACAGTAAAAAAATGTTTTCTTTTTACGGTGGTAGGGCCACGCAGCAGCCTCGGCTGTTGCACGAATGGGCAGGCCCGTCCGGGTAAGTACCACGACCTCACAGAAGACCAGCGTAAAGTGGAAGTATGAGAAATACTTTCGCGTTTCGTCTGGTGAGTGAGGTAGCCGGAGCCCAATTTTCAAAAGGTTGTCAACGCATCTGTAACCCTCGGGAGTGGCAGATGTCCATGGGTGGCGGTATTCACTTATCATCAGGTGAACCGTCTGCTCGTTTGACAACTTTTCGCATAAAAAAAAAAAAAAAAAAAAAAAAAGTCACTCTCGTAAGCGCGACATATAACTGTATTGTTTAAAACAGCTTGTAAAAAAACATATTTTATAAGTAATAAGTAAAAGAAAAAAAAAATGTTACCTTAGGAGATAAACATATACCATCTCTGACTTGTTTGTCGAGTTTTAAGATATACAATTCCGTAGTACACTGTACAATATATAAACCTTCCTGTTGAATCACTATTGCTGAAAACTGCATTAAAATCCGTTGCTTAGTTTTATAGTTTTATTGGCTAGTTTGAACGACTTTGTTTTAATACTATGTGAAGGTGAGCAGTAATATTATTTATCAGTTTCTAGTCTAAATTTATTCAGCAGTTAAAAGTAAAAAAAATTACATACTAGACATACTGAATAAATTGTGTTAGGGAATATGACTCCATATACAATACCAACTCATAGGCCCACTTTAAAATGTATAGATTTTTTTTTAAATTACGCTGCTGCCGCCAATGAAATGTTGTTCTCTATTACTACGTTTTCCGTATTTATCGGAAAATTTACTCCTCTTTTATTATTGAGTGTAACGTTTTTACCATCAAGATTTTGGAACAATCACAGTTGCAGAGCCACCTAGCACGACGCCTATATTAACTACGAGCTTGAGCCCCTTGAAATCATACAGGCTGTATGACTTCCCATGGACAGAGCCTTTGTTGAATAGCAGCTCAGATTGCATCGCTCTTCAAATCAACGGGACCCAATTGGACCTAAAACTCTCGAAGGACGCCGTTGTAAGTTAGACTATAATATATTTAGGAGCTTTAATGTATTTTGTAAATATTGCTTTATATTTATAATTATACATTTCTACTACAAATTCATCTATGCCTCGTTATTTATTTTATTTTCCTTACTGCTCTGATATACAATATAAAGGTACATTATATTATTCTATTATTTATACTAACGTAAATATAACAATTTCTCTTACCTGCTTTATTGATAATTTAACTTTTTCGGATGTTAAGTAACATTATTATTTTTAGTGGCAAAATTTTAAGTCTGGTGTTGAAGGGAGCGTTTCATTCTTGTTATAACTCAACAGGCACCATCGGAAGCCACCGGCGATGTCGAATGCTCAACTGCTACGGACAACTCTACTGGACTTTGCGTATATTTGACGAGGTGCTACGCAGCTCGCAACATCACCGTCGACACCTACAGCCGCACCTACTGCGTTGTCAGTAACGGGTAAATAAGAAGCTATGTTATTATGTACAGTAATCGGTTTTTAGAAACAGTTAGGTATCTTACAGATTATTTACAGGGAAAAAGACCTCGCTAGAATGAACTTTGTAACAATTTGAATTCTGAATGAATTGGCTGTTATTAAATCAATCAGACAAAATTATTACGGTAGCAATTATAGGATTGACTCAAATTGGACATTGCTGAAGAGGAAATAAAACTCGTTTGAGTTACAATTTTGTGTTGTTTTCAAATTGGTTGGGATTCATAACCACTTTTAATTTGTAGCAATAAAAATACATAAAATAATGAGACTAGTCACTGATGAGGTTACCAAAAAACAGCTATAAAAAGAGGATAGTGATGTTGTAACGACCTATTAATAATAATAAATATTATTATTAATTAGTCATAATAAAGATCAATTAAGATGAAAATAAAACGTTTAAGAACGTTTAGTCACAATAAAAGTTAATAATATATACTTAAATTAAAGAAATTTAAGTTTTAGTATGAGAAAATTATATTATCAAAAATTGATTAAAAATAGTTAAAAATCACTTAAAATACTCAAAAAAGGATATTTATTAAAAATATAGCAAGATACGATCACTATTATGTCAATTAAATACAATTCCATACTTAGTGATTTCTAAGGGAAGTATTATGTACCGTGCGGGGACACAATTGTATGATCGTACATATTTAAGTACAGAGGTCGATCGCGACTCCTAGTACTATAGTCAAAGTACATTGTATGAACGTCCCATACCAATATCATATGGAAGTAAGGTCTAATGGATAAAAGTAATAATATGTGAAGGCTCAGAGAAAAATAATGAATATATGAATATAATGAAGAGCAATGAATGACTTGGGACTTTGTAAGACATATTACTATGGAGTTGCGTGGTACTTCTGTACGATGATATGGTCTACGGTAAACGTGGAACCATGAATGGATATGTCTTCAGTGGTGGACATATCATCGATAGCTGGTGGTAGTTGGCGTCTTAGTGACCATCACTATGATATGTTAGCTGTCATTCGGCATAGTAAGAGTTTGGTGGTAGTTGGCGTCTTAGTGTGTTGCACTATGATACGTCGACTGATCATCTGACTTTGGGGAGTCTGGTGGTGGCTTGCGTCTTAGTGTATTCCACTATGATACGTTGGCTATTACTTGGCTTGGGTGGGGGTCCGTTGGTGGTTGGCGTCTTAGTGTTTACGCTATGATACGTCGACTATCATTCGGATCGTGAAAGAGTATGTTTGGACACTTCGTGTGTTCCGAGTATATTCTAAACTTTGGAGCCGAAGTTGATTGGAGTTATATTGGTGTGGTGTGAGGGTGTGCCACCTACGCGATAGTCACATTGATGCGTGCGGCTATATGCAGTAATGCGTCTTGTGGTATTTGCGGGGTGATCTGCGCCTAATATCATTGCATCGTATGATTCTGGTTGACGGAGGTTCGAGGTGATGATGTCTGCTGTGTATGCGGATAGGCTGTATGTTGGCGTGTTGACCTGCGATAGTTGTATTGATGCATGTTGCATTTGGTGACATTGCGTCTTGCGACATTTGCTTGGGAGACGACGACGCTATTCATAATGGCCGAGTCTGCGTCTCGGTTTGATGCACATCTCAGTAGATTTGTCCAAGTCGGGTTCCTGATGACGGAACTGCAGACTGTCTGACCTCTTTATACGTTTTATCAGTATTAACGAATCTCAGTAAAGTTCCCACCGTTCGAACGAATAATGGCAACTTGCTGGTGGGTGAGACAAACTTGATCGAAAATACACTATACTCAACGTCAGAGACACTGACAAATAAATATATGTTGCCAATTATAAACCCTTCTGATGGCTAAACATAAAAATCACAACTATGGCTATATCTGACTATTTCAATGGTTGGTGGAGCATATGCGTTTACCTCATGTGGATGGTAGCTGGCGGGAGAAAACCTCTCAAGGCTGCGGCGATGCCGTGCAACGTTTTAACCATACCCTTGGGGTGAGCAGTGACTCATAACGCGCTCTGCGACGAAATGTCGTGCTAACCTTTTTAATGGTGGTGATGCCAAAACACTAACAATCACGTCTGCAGTCGCGGCGATCTGGCAAAAGTGGTGGCGCTTACGGAGGGCTTATTATATCATAGGGCCAGAGTGCCTGATCTTTAACACATGCCCAAAACCGTATTGACGTACATTCACGAAGACTGGATTTGTCGTCGGCTTGTATGACGTATACACGCATTGACATGCGCGACTTCGGTCAAAGTTTGTGCTTACGCACTGCCAAGGGGCCAAGCCCTCTTTATGCTGGTAAAACAGCTTTGCAATGGACTTCGGTCCTTTCCCCAACTTTTTGTCCCTCTTCTTGGGGGCGCAATATGTTGGTTGGCGCTCACCGCACACGGCGTTGGTGAGTGTTTTCATGGAGCCGTGTGCCTTCCCTACATTTTTTTAAAATGTGGGGGAGCTGTTGACTTGTATCGGGTATGTAAAATTGATGTGAGCCCTTTTCAAAAGAGAAGGGATATTAGGTTAAAATTATATTGTGAGCCCTTTACAAGCGTGAGAGGGAGTATACTATATACTCTGAGCCCGTCTCAAGCGAGAGAGGGAGTATACTATATACTCTGAGCCCGTCTCAAGCGAGTCGGGATTAGTTAATAAGAAAGCAATCTAGCATTATCTCTGGCTTATACCACAACTAGTGAATATTTATCTATCCAAGATCCACCTAAAAGAATCAAGTTACTAAATAAACACAACGTAAATGCGGTCCTACCGAATATGACGATCACAATAATATTTTATACGGCTAATTATTACCTTTAGAAAGATCCTATAGAAAGATCAATAAATTATCCTGGTCACGTAATGATGTTATATGATTTATTCATATGATGGGGGAAAATATATATAAGTTTAATTATAATTATATATACACAATAAAGGGGGGGTGTGAGTTACAATGTGACTACAATAATGAATAAACTAATTAAAGAGATAATTTTGAACATTGAGCTTTCTTTTGTTTTAATTGATTGATTATGTAATATATGATATTTTAATAATATTTTTTTTTCAGCTATGCGGGAGTTTGTTGTCCAAGGAGTGAAGTGGATAAAACGCCTTAATTATATCTATTATAAAAAAATTAAACATAATTTTGTAATCATTATTACAGTCAGTAAACATTGTACTGAAATCAATGTCTAAAAGCCGTAATAAAATAATTGGGACTGAAACATTAAAAACATGGATTTAAAAATATATCAAAGAAAAGATTTAATACGATAAAACTCATGTAAGTTTAAATAATATACGTAATAGTACTGACTTAAGTTAAAAGTAAGCTGTACAAGTATGTTTTTGTATGTTCCTCTAAAACTAATAATAAAGATTTCTAAAATGTTTTGTTGTTCTTACTATTTATAGCACTGTTTTCAGGTATTCACTTATAAAAAAAGAATTCGAAATTATAATTAAAAAGACTGGCAATGTAAATGACTGGAAAAAAATAACAATAAGCGCTGCCGCAGATTTTGAGACACGGGACTGAAAAGGTTACACGGCACTGAAAAAAATTAAAAATATGTTTAAATAAAGATTTCACCAATAAAAGAGATTTATATACCGTTGTGGTCATATAATTAAGAACGATCTGAAGTTCCAGAAAAACGTTTCTAAATCATGTCAAGTAACTTTTAGTTATACATGAATAGAACAAACGGGACCAGGAATATTGAATAAAATGGCCAACTATTTTTTTTATTAACAAAGCAATTTAATATTTTAAACTAATTTAATAACTTTTATACATTTTAAACTTAAATCAATCGTTAGTAGCATGTCCATGACTTTTAATTACTGCTTTTCACCGGCGAAACATTGGTTCTGTAAATTTTTGACATTCACGGTCACGGAAGAGAAATACTTTTATTCTTCTAAGAAAACGTCGTACAGCTAAAGACGTTAAATTTGCTAAAGTATCGATTTTAAACCTTTTGTTTTGCCAAAAATGCTCCATTGGGCTTAGATCTGGGCTGTTAGCTGAACAATCTAAGACTAAAACTGACTGCGACAAGAGTTCTTTTCATTTATCTCGACAGAAGATGGCAAGCAAGCTGGTGGTTCACCTGATGTTAACTGCCGCTCATTGACATTTGCAACACCCGTAGGGTTCTAGATGCATCGCCGTGTTATAATAAAGTGGATCCCGGCTACCTCACTCACCAGATGAAGCGCCGAAGTATAACACTAACACTTCCATTTTACGCCGGTCTTTTGTGGGGTCGTGGTACTTAACCGAGCGGACCTTTTTTTTCTTAAAATCTCTGATCTATTTCGAAAATTTTTACTGTTATTAAAATTTCGGTAACGTTTTTCTCTAGTTAAATTAGATGGTAACTAAAGATTTATTATGTACTGACTCGGAAAATTTTTTTTGCCATTTAAATTATTTGTAGAGGAATCTGAACGCACTGTTATGTACAATTTACAGTATTGAGTATTTGCGTAGGTCAGCAATTTAGAATTATATAAAAACAGTTTCGATGCCCAAGTACGGCAGTCAACATCAAGCAGTCAAACTCTATACTCGGTCCGATAACAATAATTTTTATAACGTAGTTGTGTGTCAGAATTAAAGTTCCTTACAGCCAATAAAAAGTGTTTTTTTTAAAAAGGACCCACAGAGCGCCATCCTTACAAATTTGGTGTCAGAAGTGGGATAGTCCTAGGAAAATACGTAAGTACTGGGATCTATCTATTAGGTGTTAGGCGCGTCGCGTTAAGTTACTCGCCCTGCACCAATATTTGGCTCTGTGGATGTAAGGTCCTAAGAAAAAGTGACAGCGTGATCGACAGTCAGACTCCGCTGCTTAGCGTGAGCCCGCATCAACAAACCATCACTGCTTCTTCATCGTGATCGACGATAAGTCTCCGCTGTTAGCGTGAGCCCGCATCACCTGCTACCAACACACGCTGTGTCATCGTGGTCGACGGTAAGCCTCCACTCTCGAGTGTGAGCCCGCATCACCCACCAACTAAAACACGCTTGTGCTGTTGTGATCGACAATAAGCCTCCACTCTCCAGTGTGAGCCTGCATCATCAATTGAAACACATTTGTGCTGTCGTGGTCGACGGTAAGTCTCCACTTTCGAGTGTGAGCCCGCATCACATCCGACACCAGCTACCATAAATTCGGACAGTTGACTCATTACCATCTAAAATTCGTAAAATCAATTAGATACATAAATTTAAATACAAAATTCCATTCTCACGATAAACGCAACGTGTTTTCAAGAATTCGCTGCAATACGACTCCATTGAGTCGCCACGAAAACGAAGCCACGTTGACGTCAACCCTGCAAGCATCGCTGCGCGTTTCCACGACACGACGCAACACGACACGGTTCTTGGAAAAGCCGTTCTCCAAAAAAATGTGGTTCAATGCTGTTATAATATTGTGAGTTTATTTAACTATTTTTCAACGTTTTAAGTCTCAGTGCATTTAGTGAAAGTGTTTTTTTTTTTTCAGAACATTAATAACATTTTATACAACTTTTACAATTCTATTTACTAATTTGTTTCTTTAATCTTATTTTACATATTTTTTTTGTTTATATCTGATGATCTGTACTGCATAATATTTAAATATTAACTTTTAATGCCTCCTAAAAAGGAAGAAAAAACTGAAATTAATTACAACACTTTAAAAATGGCAGATAAAATCACCCTTTCTGTTCTAACTAAATTCATAAAACCATATAATGGAGATCGTGAGTCTTTGCCTGCATTTTTAACTGATTGCGAAAATGCAATTTCTTTAGCGAGTACAGACCAACAGAATGTGCTTTGTAAATATATTTTATCGCAACTCGAAGGCAAGGCGCGGTTAGCATGTTGTTTAAAATGCTTTGATTCATGGGAAGAAATTAAACAATTTTTAAAAGTAACTTTCGGGGAGAAAAAACATTCCACTCATTTATTAGTCGATTTACAAAATTGCAAACAATTACCTTCTGAGGATGTGATACAATATTCTATACGTATTGATTCTTGTCTTACACGATTGCAATCTGATATTCATTACAGTTGTGAAAACAAAAACGAGCTTCTTGGCAGATTAGCCGCTATGGAAGATCTAGCATTAAATACATTTTTATTAGGACCAAATTCAAGTCTCTCTCATATTGTTCGCTGTAGAAATCCTAAATCTTTATCGGAAGCAATTACACATGCAACCGAAGAAGAAAAACTCTATAAGTTATCTCGCTTATCAAGCAGTTCACAGAAATATTGTTCAATTTGTCAGAAATCTGGTCATAATACTTCTGATTGTTTTAAAAACAAAAATAAGCATTTTATATCTAAATTTCATAATGTACATTTTAACCCTAGTTTACCACGTAATAATTATAATCAATATAATACTAACAATAATCATTATAAGCCTAATTCATTAAACTTTAGTAAATCATGTGCGTATTGCAAAAAGCCTGGTCATGTTATAAATGAATGTCGCAAACTTAAATTTAAAAATAATAATATGCGACCTAACATTAATTTGCCTGCACTATCCGGTGCACATGCACCGAATACGAGTTCCGATCACTCTAATATGAATGTAATTAGCAATTTGCCTAAAGACGAACATTTAAACTAAAGACGGTTTCGGTGCCTTGTCTGCCGAAACCTTGTAATGATTTTTTGAACGACACGAAAACTTTAAATTTTATTAAATCCCGTGATCCTAAATTATATACAAAATCGCGGAAGAAACAGGAAGAAATGTTTATAATATTAAAAAGAAGTTCTCTACTGAGTCTCAACTGAAGTCTCAAGGTCGTACCAGCTGTGGTCAATTCTCTGTTGCACAGACTAATACACCTTCGACTCAGACTTATTTTAATGAGCAAAGCTCTAATACTCAGTTTTATAATAATGATAAGCCTCGTGTTCATAAATTCTTACCAACACAGGTTAATAAAAATTCAGAGACTTCTCATTTAAAAAATAATTCAAATATTTCTTATTTTAAATACAATCCTCTACCTCGTTATAATAATACGAGTTCTTTTATTAAGGATTGTAAGCGTGAGAAAACTTATATTATGAATAATATTAATACAAAAATTTCTCTTCCTCACGTTTTTTTGAAAACAAATTTTAATGATAAGCCACTATGTTTTTTAATTGACACTGGTTCTACTATATCTATAATTAAGTTGTCTAGTTTATCGAAAAATCCAGTGTTGAGTTCTGAAATTGTAAAACTAAAAGGTTTAAGCGATAATGATTCATATTGTGAATCTTTGGGATCAACACAGATTGATTTCGAATATCGCATTTCTCCGAATAAAAGAATAACTTTTAATTATATATTTCATGCAATTGATGATACAGTTAATTTAATTTATGATGGTATTATTGGTAGTGATTTTATTCAACATTTTAAGATAGACGTGCAGTTCTCTACCAATTCTCTTAATTTAGAAGGTTATAAAATACCTATTTGTTTTAGTAAGCCATCATATGTTATACCCCCGCGGTCAGAAATGGTCATAGTGTCCAGTTTCTAACTTACAAGATTTTTATGATAAGAAGGAAGCATTAGTTTTAGATAATAAAATTTGTGAAGGCGTATTCATTGCCAACTCTATAGTTTCTTTGAAAAGTAATAAGAGAGTCAATATTTCTGTTTTAAACACAACAGAGACTCCTATTGTATTCAATAATTTTCAAGTTGAATTATCTCCATTTGAGCTTCCATGTACTAACACGTTAGACACTCAACATGAATTTATGCATAAGTTAGATTGTTTAAATATAGACCGTTCTCAAAAAGTTCTAGACCAAATTAGAACTTCGCATTTAAATCCGCAGGAGAAGAAAGCGTTAATGAACTGTCTTTCACAATATACAGACATTTTTCATTTAGAAGTTGAATTTTTAACGCATACTAATGTAATAAAACATTCTATTAATACTGGCAATGCACCTCCTATTCATGTTAAGTCGTATCGCTTCCCAGAGATCCACAAAGATGAAGTTGAAAAACAAATTAAAAAAATGTTAGACCAAAATATTATTCGTCCCTCAGCTTCACCATGGAATGCACCCGTATGG